ACCACTCTGTGCACTGAACTCAAACCTACTGTCCACGACTTATTTTTTCCCATTACTTCCTTGTCTTAAGATACGGGGCTGCCCTTGGTGACCCACTTTAGCAGGTTCGGTCTGTGACACACTGGCTAAGATCATGCCCTTAACTTTGTTATCTTTCGTTACTTTAGAAAACCTTCTGTGGCTTAGATCAGCTGTGATTTTCAGCACTCTAGGTCCTGGGAGGATCCAAGTAGGCAGTTTGGGCCATGAGCACAGCAGCACTCAAGAAACGTGCTTCAGTGGAAGCAGTGGACTTAATAGTGAAACAGTCCAGGGGGAACCTTCAGTTATGAATTTAGGAGTCAGGTGGTGGCAGGAGGAAAGGAACTGTGTTATTCCTTCCTTCCAGATGACAGCTGTCAAAACCTAGTGAAACTAAGACTAATGTGCTTTAAAGATAAAGCCTGAGTGTTTAATTTTTGCCTGTTTGATTAAATTTGTACACGTCTAAGGGTCATATACACAACATTAGTTTCTCTATCCTAACGTCATCTTTCATCAAGCCTCCTTTAATATTTCAGTATTTAAAGGAAAGTGTAATTAAACAGTGGTCACATAGAAATCTTTAAGATATTTTCAACTTTTCTTTTTTTTTTTTTTTGCAAACCTACTGGCTCCACGTGGCAGTCATGGCCTCATTGGAAAAGAGAAGCAAAGGTGGGGAGGGGACCCTTTACGTACTTAAGGCTTCAAGGCTGGGAAGAACCAAAGCCTGAAAGCAGCCTTTTCTTTTCTGTTACTCCCGGATTACTCTCTAGGGTGAAACCTCTACTGGGTGGAAGCTTTCCCAAGTTACACTCACAAGGCCTCATTAAGACGTACCTGAAATACAGGTACGACGAGTCGATGAGTTACGGGCTTTTGAGGACCCTTACTTCCCTAGGGTTTCTTTCTGGAGTGAATTAAACTGGTATCAAATAAAGGTTAAGCAGTAAATGTTTTCTTCTTAAATTTCACATTAAATTTATATAGGTTACATCCTCGTTATGAATTCTGATGCTTCTGCTGAGTGATAACTAACCTATATTGCACTTCTTTTGAATAATGTTTTTAACACATAGGACACAAAATAAAATCCAAGTGCTTAAGTTTTCAAACTTAGATGAAGTCTCCCGTATCCGTTAGTTTCGGTGTTTGGCACCTGTATGAACACGCTGGTGCTGAATGAGGTTTGTGCTCTGGGTGAAGATTTTACCACATATGCGGCATCCATAGGGCTTCTCTCCTGTGTGAATCCTCTGGTGTTGAATAAGGCATGTTCTCTGGCTAAAATCTTTATCACATTCGTTACACTTATAGGGCCTTTC